ATTAGTATATATATCTCTACACGTTTTATCAAATTTTATTAAATGGTCTAAATCTCAAACTTACCTCTCGAATTGTAAGAGACTCACATAATCATCAAATTATAGATCAAGTAATTTAATGTATTAAACTCACAATAAAATCAACACATAAATAAATAAATCACAGAAATTTTGAATAAAAAAAATAAAAAATCACAAGTCGACTAAATTATTTTTCCTAATATAAAAATTAGTTATTCATATTGTAAAAATAAAAACATGCAAAAGTGAAAAGATATCACTAAAAATTGACAAAACGTGAAAATTTCTTGTATTTGCAGTCTCCTTTCATTTTCTTTTATTTTTTCCTTCTTTCTCTTTTCTCTCTGCGCTGTTTTCTTCTCCGATGACTTTTTCTTTTCTTTTCTCTCTCTTTCTTCTGGCAACTTTTTCTTTTCTTACGTGTTGTCGTCTGTGTGTATGTACATTTCTTTTTCTTTCCTCCCAAGAATTCCTAGTGCCGCCCATTTTTCTTCCATCCTTTATATTTCTCTTCAATATTTCATCTTTGGATTTTGCCATTTTTCGTCACTTTTGCATTCTTTTCTTCAATTCTTCACTAAACATTAAGTTTTACCTACAAAGCACAATATAACATGAATTAAGTAGAATTTTATTCAAAAGACAATAAACTTATGATTTAGGGCCTTGAATAAGTGTAGAAACTACACTTATCAAGCTGCAGTCCATACTTTGGACATAAAGGTTTTCCCATAAGACAGCAAATGGCGAGACTCCTTTTATGTTATCTTTCAGCGTCGAAACCATAATTCCAATTGAAGTCAGCCTTCCTACGTTGAGAAGGCTCAAGCCTAATTCCAAAAGGCAAACGGCTGAACGTCTACCCTACTTGAAGAAGTGCGAGAACAGGCGTCGCTAAGAGCTGCAAGTTATCAAAACATAATAGGAACGCACTCCAGCAACAAGGTAAAATTCAGAATGTTCAAAGTTGTAGATTTAGTCCTCAGAAAGGTATAAGCAGCTGGCCATCCTCTAGGAAAGCTCGAACCGGTCTGGGAAGGACCTTTCAAGTCATACGGAAAGTAAAAGGCAAAGCATCAACCTCAAGGACACCTCAAAAAAGCCACTCCCAAGGCCATGGAATGCCGACAACCTCAAGATTTATTACAAGTAGTTGGCCATGCCCCCAAGTATTCAGATTACTTAGTTTTTGTTCAATTCGTGTTAGGTTACTCTTATATGCCCTCAATAGTTTATTTTTTCTTAGTTTAGCTTGGGCTTGCATACCCTCAGATTGTTTTATTTTTCAGGCCTACGTCGTTCCTCGCGCATGCAGCTAATACATCTACCTAGTGTAAGGACGTGCACAAGCACACAACTGATCTTGACCTTTATGACCCGACTTGAATATCTCACAATGGCAAAGTACACAAGTACGACCATTGGAACAAGGGACGTTCCTATGCCCTCGGGGCAACTAGTGGTCGAGCTCCTAGAGGAACGAATACTACTATCACTCGACCCTTTACTCCCACCACTCGACATTATACTACTTATGTAAAATAAATAACTTAAGGGCTCGAACACTCACCTCTTAAGGTGGTCGCTCACAAAACCCACTTCCCTCGAACTAAAACTTCTTTTAATAGGAGTTTAGAGTGAAAAAGTGAAAAATAAGGAATGAAAACGGGGTATTTATAGGGTTCTAGGGAGGTTAAAGGTCGTGCAATCTTGACCCTTGGATTCATGCCACGAGGCGATCATTCAAGATTGTCTGCTTCCTGCCTTACACGCGTCCAACACATGTCAAACACCCAACTGTTACCGACAATCAACAATGGAGTTCGACCTTAAGCTTCTCGACCTTCATACATCTCACCTCGATTACATAACCATTAGCTGTGATTTGAATGCACAGGAGCCTATAATATGAGAAAAAATGGGTATGTCCCCTGAACTCTAGCTAAGAAGCTCGATCTCACCTTTGCAAAAATATCCATGCAAGAGGTCGAGCCTAAAGTTTAGGTCGGGCCTTACAGGTCGTGGTCATTCTCAGCAATAACGGTTAAATTGTCCTTATCTATTACCTTTTAGAAATATTAATCCAACTCTAATTGTGACTCTCCATAACTTTTATCCAAATCCAAGCTGCAAACCCACCCACAAGTTTGATTGAAACTCAAACACAACACTTTCAATATAACACAAACACCTTACATGATAAGGATAAGAACTACAGGTGATTGGATCCTCTTAGAACTCCATCACCGACATCTATAATATAGGATCAATTTCATTATTCAAATACGCTTTTACATAATTTACAACATATAACCTTTAGCATAAATTCTCTTTCTAGTTTAAGTATTGGAAGGGCGACGAGGACACACCTCGACGCATTTGTTTTAGGTATTGGAGATTAGTTCGTGTGGTATTCGAACATCCAGATCGAGATCTAACAGGTTCAGATTTTTGGTAGCATCAATATCCAATCCCATATTATTCAAATAATTCTCAATTAATTGTTATACCTAATTTTTGTGCATTGTCTTTCAAAGAGCAAGCCTTGGATCAACCTGTTCCATCTAAGTCATAAAACCACCTACGGCATGTCGCTCAGATAAACCGACACATTTTTCTTGACCAGGCTCCTGCTGGCTTAGTTGACTGAGCTAAGGTCTAAGTATGTTGACCCTCTGATTTTTAAGTTAATCCACCAATATCACGTTCTATTCGGTCTTTAACTTCATATCGATGTTGCGAGCAAAACATGATTATGTGACTCTTAAAATGATTCAATAACCTTGCTTTACTTGGTCGTCATCAAAATTTGAGGTCCCGAATTTTAACCAAATTTATCTCATTTTTATTACTTTTGTCAAATATTCCTAGCTGATGGACTCGAATGGATTGCTCCAAGGGGTTAGGCCCAATGCATTTTCCATCCTTTGACTCCTTGTTTTGTCTAATGGCTACTGTTGGGTTTTTGATACCCAATAAATCCGAGCGATGATGTTAAACCGGTTTTATGTTGGATTGGTCTTCATAGGCCTCGGCCGATGATTGAAGTGGAATGTCGACACCACAATGAACGTACCATCCCGACACCCTAAG